TAATAATAATAATAATAATAATAATAATAATAATAATAATAATAATAGTAATATCCGTTTTATAACTTTTAATCGTACATTTTCATTTGAATGAGAATAGCATATCACAGTTTAGAAGACTTCCCATAAACAATTTTGAGCTGTATCATAAACTTGCAACTACTGAAGTATTTTTCAAATTGAAATAAAGAGTTTCGTGAGAAAGAGATGGTCCACGTGTGACATTAGCTCACAGTTATGGCACAGTATCAACCCGTCTTGCCTTTTTAAAAAGAAAAACCTTTTCTGAGATGGTTGGATGATAAATTCTCGGCTGTTCTTTAGGCGCTCCCTCCTTTAAACCTCCCACCCCTCTCTCTCCTTCTCTCTCTGTCTTTCAAACACACACACAAACCGCTTCCAAGCAGTCTGAGACTTTAACTGGTGACCCGTCCGTGTTTGAAGCTTTGAAAAAACATCCTGACTTTCCTTACAGCCAAACAAACAGCGAGTCAACATCCCACACAGCCATGAGCGCGGCTGACTCAACCCCCCCCTTCTTCTCTCGGCCTACCTTTCCTTTTTTTCTCCTTTTTTCCAATAAAAAAACTTGAGCCCGGTCATCCAGATCCCTGATATTCCTTAAGTTATCCGCCGTAATGAACGCACGGTTTGGATCGTCTGAACGTAAGATGCGTCTCGGTGCGGAGCGTCTGTTTGGAGGCTGTGTGGAGGCTGTGTGGAGGCTGTGTGGAGTCTGTGTGGATTCTGGGCTGCTCTGCGCTCTGCAGAGGAACGCTCTGCACTCTGAACATCTGCTCATTTCACGTGACTTTTTTAAAAATACTAACATCTGTTCTAAATAGGTTTCATTCTGTGCCTCCACGTCGTGTCAATTGCCAACTCCTCTCTCAGAAATAAGGGAGAGGAAGCTTGTTTAAGGCTTTTACATTGCATCAGGGGCTGAATGGGAAATTTTCTTTTTTGAAAAACTTGACTTTTGCAGATGTGTGCCGCTCACAAACCACAGCTTGTGTGTTGTTTGTCTGCGGGAAAATCCTCAACAGTAAAACTTTCAAGAGGGGCTGTTTGTTGATCTTCGGGCCTTGACTGTGATTGTGAGGCATTGTTGAGACACTCGGGGAGTACAGCGTTTGTGTAGCCTGCACCTTCACGGCCTTCTTAAATTTCATAGACATCTGGGAATTCCATACATGCCTCGCAAGCCAATTACACACCTTCAAACGGACGCACACTTTGATTTTGGACAGCGAGAAACACTTTCCCAGATCTCCGAGATCAATCACAGCACGATAACAGTAGGCTGGGAAAGATTTATTCTGTGTAACAGAGAATACCTGCCAGGGGTGTTGAGCGGTTCACATGGGCCTGTTGTTCGTCTGATGGAGAAAATATGCCCCGGTTGTTCCTCGTTTCTGTCGTTATGACCTCGGCATATAGAAGAAAGACCCGATCACCCCACTATCACCGGTCTGAAAGCAGACTGCTGCATTCTCGGGCCCATAAATGATTTACTTATAATTGTGAGCTTCAGGAACATACTTTAATCCAAGTATAAACACACCCGGGAAAATGGATTGAGTGAGAGAAACCGGAGAGGCTTTTAAATCTTTAATTAAAATGTAATTTTATATAAGCTTGTTTTTTTTTTATTCTGCAGCAGATTTTTTCCCCCCTGCAATAAAACATCTCTTGTGTTTGAATTGTGTGTTAACGTTGGCTTTCCTTAAACAGCTCGAGTTACAAATGACGTGAGATACTTAGCAAATTCCGATTTTTTCCCCCTTTTCTTTTCTTTTTATTCTGTAACACGATAAAAAAAAATGGTGCGTGTTTAAACGGCCCTTTTACTCGAGCCAATAAAAACTCCATCTGTTTTTGCTGGTGATTGGCAGTGCTGTAAGCCTTTGCTGTTGATTTGATGCATAAGTGTGCGAGCGAAAAAAGCAGAAAGCGTGAAAGCTGAGGGAAAGAAAGTCAAAGCCAAGTTCTCCCTTGTCTTTTTTCTTTAATGCAAAACATATACAAACATTTACAAAGGAAAAAAGGTAATAAAAAATAGCAATGATTTTAGTTTATTTATTTGTATTTATTTGAGACACAGGATCTATTCTTTCAAAGCAACACGTTTCACCAATAAATAAATAAATGTATTCTGAAAATATTTTTTTTTTGCACAGGTTATCTCCACAAAGTCATCTTATAATGTGAGCTAGGCAAATAGTCTCACACAGAAAACTGAGACCTCAATGATGCACTTTGACCTCCGCAGAAATAAGCCCAAAGGCATGCACTAACCAAAGAAAAAAAAATCAATAATAAAAAAAAAAAAGAAAAAAGAGAGGTTTTCAACATTCGTCGTCAACAACATGAGAACTCATCAGCCTGGGGAGTGTGGAGCTGAGGGCCTGTCGGGCCTCCAGGAAAGGCTCCCCACGCAGAGCTTCAGTCGTCTTTGGTGTTTTTGATCCCATGTATCCAGCATTGGACTCCAGATTGTCCCATCGGAATGTGATAAGTAGCTTCAGCAGTCACCTGTTGGTTAGACGGCGTGTTAGTGACCACTGTACGGGACTGGAAGGCTTACAAAGTCAAGCTGCTTTCAGCTGGCGCAATATTCTGGTGCTCTGGATCCTTTTGGAAAAAACTTCTACCACCGATTCTGTTAAGCAGCGTTTCCTCATTTCAAGCCTTCATCATGCAGCCGAGTTGGAAAAAACCAAGCGTACCATATTGGGCATAATTTCTCCAGGTGTTAGTGAGATGTTGACATGGACCAAGCGCCCTCCATCCTCCACACGGAGAAGGCGTAGCTCAGCCTCTCGTGAGCCACATAACTACAGCTTGACATCTTGGAGTCCAGCTCGTCGCTCTGCAGGACCTGGCAGAGGAAGTCGATGTATCTGGCTGCGAGTTTTAGGGTCTGTATTTTGCTGAGTTTGTCCGAGGGCAAAGTGGGGATAATTTTCCGCAGAGCGGCGAACGCCTCGTTGAGGGACTGGGTCCTCTGGCGCTCCCGGACGTTGGCCATGACCCGCTGCGACTGAAGCTCCTCGAAAGACTGGGGGCTGCTGCTGGTGGACTTCTTCCCCCTTTTCCCAGGGGTCGGGCTATCTGAGTCCTCCCCGTTTTTCCTGCTCGGTCTCCTCTTCCTCCCACATCTCTTCGGCTGCCTGTCCAGCTCCCCCTCGCTGTTGCTCAGGCTGTCCGCAGGAGAGACAGGGGAGCTGCCTGACTCTTCCCCCAGATTTTCCTCAGACATCTCCAACCTGGGTTGATGGCGGCCAAAGTCAGTCCACAAAACGATTCCCCTCTCATGAAGTCAAAGAGTCAGTCCACCTGAAGCTCTAAGGGCTGTGAAGACACCAAAGACTCCATGGGTTCCTGGAAGGGCAAGTCTTTTCTGTTACTTGAGAGACTTAAGCAGCTCTTATAGGCTGCATGGCGTAAAGTTTTTGGGGAGGGATTGGCCAAGAGGATGAATTACGTGCAGCGAGGGGCGGGAGCATGTGATGACTTAAAAACACCCTTTACAAGGCCAGAGCTGCAAACAGTAACTAACGGTTCCACTTCATCTGATCTCTCTATTATCACAAAAAAGTAAATAGAGTATTAAACATTAGGACTTTACTATACACACAAACACACACAATTAAAAAAACAAATGTCAAAGTGAAAAGTAAATTATGGTTCAGCTATAGACGAAAACATAAAATAACAAACTGTACTTAGATGATAGAAAATTGGCGTTTAAATCTATATTTTTAGCAGATCTTGTACCACTTCGTTCATTTTTGTCATTATAATCAATTATGTCACATCCTATATGTGCTTGCAATAATCTTTGTTGTTTTCCTCCGACCTAACCCTTGTGGCATTTATATTTTTGTTTCCATCCAGTCTCCTTTAAACCTAGCAACATCAAAGGAAAGTTTTACATAAGCAACATAAGATTCGAATTTTGTATTTTTAAAATAAGGGATATTTGTCTTAATCCACCCAAAAAGGAAGTGACTTCCCCCCTGTTGTTTCCATTCAGAGATGAGAAGAGGAGAGCACTGTGTGGTTTGCTCTTTGGCATTAACTGGGCTGGTGATACAATATCCATCTTGTTTAATGGAGGATTACTTTGTTTAGATTGAGAAGACTGTGGTCCACAGGAGCTGCATCTGGCTCAGGAAACAGGGGGGCAGTCGGGGTCACAGGTCACAACACCAGTGAAACATCCATTTATGTCTTTGCGAAGGCCTGAGAGTGAGATATTGTTCCTAGGGAAACACAGGCTTGTTTAAGTATGACCTGAGCTCTAAGTATGGATTGACTCACGTTGCACGTTTAACCAAAAGATGAACATTTAATTGATATTTTGCTTAACAAAGAATTTCACACAATCATTTACTTATATCACTCTACCAGAGAGTAAAAGTAAAACTTGATCAAGTTTTTATTGTTAATGATGGTGATTATGAACAAAAAAGGAAGAACAGGTTCTCCAAGATGAGCGTACCTGTCTGGTGGCACTGTCCATGGTGCTGATCCTGACGCTCTTCTACCTGCGACACCTCACAGGTAAGCAAGTAGACCTTCAGCCACCTTTCATGCATTTTGAATCAACACATTTTGATATTCGTGGTGATCTATTGGAAGAAATGCAGTTCAATATTTCCAACCTTTTTGTCCCTAATGGTAAATCATGTCAAAATCATGTCAAAATAATTTTTCAATGTCTGAGACTGGTCATCCTTTTTATAGCATGTTATCACACAGTGTGACTGCAAATGAAAAGGATGCCGTGATATTTTTACTCATGAACAAGTAGTGAGGTGTTTGAAAGAGAAAAAATTGAACAAACTTAAACCCAGGTACACCGTCAAAGAAAAGAGGAACAATGAAGATGGAAAAAAAAACATCCACAAAAGTTTAAGACTTAATGATAATAAACAGATACAGGTTACACAAGGCAATTGAATATATTCATGGATCAATACAATTTAATAGTCCCATCTTCACTAAAGAGATACCTCTATCAGAACTTTCTTCTGTTTGCTTGTTACGATTGTTGTTTAAATGTTGTCTGAATACACTTTGAACCTCTAACAATTGTGTGGAAGTCAACTAGCCTCTTTTTTGGAGTGTTTTAGTCTGTTTATTTGTCCATAAAAGCAACCACAATTGCGGCCTTGCTTGTGTCAATGACACTTTGATTATATGGTTAGTATACTATACTCTCAAGTCATAATAACACCGTCATGCAACATGTTCTGAAAACAATACTGTACAAACTGGCAGGGACACCCTCTTCATAGTTAGATTTTTTAAACCAGATTTCTATGTAGAGTTCAATTCTCTGCTGCTGAAGTAACTCTGAGAAAACACAGCTGCTTCTCAAGAATATGATGTCACCATAAGACAACTCCTACAGTGTTGATCTTTAATAAAGACAAAACCTTCATCAGTCACTTGCAGACTATTTGAGAATGACAAGTACAAGTACATGAAGAGGAGATAAACAGCACTGGCTATTTTTCAATGTGATCCGGCATACAGTGTTTGGACTCCGCCTGGAGCGAGGGCAATTACCTGATTAAGAAAGCTTCTCTCCTTGTAGATGCACAATGAAAAGAGTGTTATGATAAAGGCAAATGCATAAAACTGACTCATGCAACCTGACACACCAGCCACGAGTGACCCCAGAGCGTCATTAACCCCCCCCCCTCCCTGAGGTCACATAGAGGCAGACACTGCTCAGGCTCTCACTCACTAAGTTTTGAGTCAGAGCCAGATCCTCAGAGACCTGTCTATTTTTTCTGCACAGGCCTCGGAAGGCAGTGTTTCTCTATCGGCCCTCTCATATCTATTGAAATAACAAACCACAATCCTCCACATGTACTAGTCTCCCACAATTGACAGCAAAATTCATGTTCACTCCATTAAAGTCTAACCACAGCGGGTCCAATGCCAACTCACCAAGATGGATCAACTGCACAGAATGAGAAAAGACAGAGGTGCGTTCTTCAAAGAACAACTCCTGATAGCCTCTAATCAACCCTCCAGACTAACGAGGTCAAGCAGCAGAGTTGGATGACAACATTTTTCCCCAGCCATAGCTTCTAAAAGTCCCATTCTTCAGAGAAGGTTTTATCAGGTTTTTTTTTTTCTGATAGCAGAGGTCCAATGGTGGTGGGAGAAGATTTGGGGCGTTGAATTGGGAGGTTGTGATGAAAACAGTTCTTTATAAGCTGTCTGGACACATGGGAGCCAGGAAACCTGAAGTTAGCTGTAAAAGTAAACCTTTGAAAGCCGACTGCTTTGATGTTGCAGGTTCTAATCGCAGAGCAACTCGGCAGTGCTGTGGCTGGAACAGTCTTACTTTGAAAATGCAGCAAAAGCTGCATGCTCCTACAGTGTTATCTCATAAAAAGTGTGGATATACTTGTGGAATGAAAGGCTGATATTGTGTGTGAAGAAATGCATGTGAGTAAAAAGATGCTTTCCATCTATTCACACGATTGTGATGATTCTGTGGGATATCAGACAGCTCAGCAGCACAATGACACCTTATTAGCGACCAAGAACCAACAAATGTCTAGTATGTTTTTACAGCTTGGAGGCTCAGGGTGATGTGGGGTATGTGGAAGAACTGGCATCCCGGCAGTATAATCTCTGCTTAAAACACACATGCACACACAAAACAAACATATACCCTCCTCCAGTGACAGTTGATTGGTCAAACTTTACTAAGAAAACAACATAAGTCTGTATTGAGGAAAGATTAAAGATCACTGAATTCTACATTTGCCCATCAAAAAGAATAGAAAAAACTGTTCTCAGTTAGTTTGTGCTCTTTCTACAGCTAATGTATTCCTCTGTACAGCTGAACCATACCTTCCCTGGCCATAAAGTATGCTGCCACCCTGCAGACCACACACACATTCACTGATACCGCTGCAGCGTGGAGACCAGTGCACTGACCCATCCAATGAAAATATCTGTTCACAGAGTAACAGGAGCTTTATCATATTTTGGCTGGACTGAGAAAACTTCACAGGTGCTACTGTGAGTGCAGGCATACTGCATAGATGGCATTTGAACACATGCACACACACACACACACACACACAGGATGTACTCTGTCATATACAATAATGCTGAAAAAGAAATACTGATAGCTATATCAGTAATGTGAAAAACGTTTATTTCAAACTACTCATATCCCAATGAACATTTTCAAACCTGTGTTAGTTTTCAAAGTCAAAAAGAGTGAATGTAACTGTAAAAACAGATGGGGGTTATATGAAAAACATGAAAACAGTTGAATAAATGAATCCCTAAATGACAAAATGAGCTCTTGATCTATGATTTTTGGTTATTGCTCAGTTCACCAAAATTAAAATCAGCCCTATTTTTATAGTGCCAGAACAAATATCTTCATAGATGCAATTCAATTCAAGCCAGTCAGAATCCACTTCACATAAACGCAGTCATAATTAAGAACATGGTTTCTGTGTTTTCTGTTTGTTTTTGTTTTAAAATTATCCACACTGAGAAGTCAGGACTTCAGGTATGATTCCTGGACCTCTACCCTCTTCTTTCTTGTAATGTTTATTAAAGCGAAGGTTTGATCACCAAGAAATTGGTATGTCTAAAAGCCTAAAGAAGGAGGTAATCAGCGGGCATTCAAAAAGATGGCCGAACCACCTCAGCTGACCTTTTATGATGCAAATGAGCTGCAGTTCTACTCCAAGCTCAGACCCAGTGCTTGAGACTCGCTCTTATCTTCAGGGCTCAGCTCAGCCATCCTCTGAGGAATCTCATTTCAGCTCCTTGTATCTGCGACATCATTCTTTTGGTCCAAATCTCCTTGCCCCAGGTGAGGGTTAGAATGAAGATGGGCCAGTAAATCTGAAGCTTTGCCTCTCGACTCTGCTCTTTCTCCATCACGGACTGGCACATGGGGCCTTCGTTACTGCTGATGAAACCCCAATTTGTCCCTTTATCTCTTTCCAGTCTTTCACTGTTCATGGAGAAGATCCCAAGATAATTAAATTCCTCTGCTTGTTACCAAGACCCATCCCTGACCCGGAAGGAGCACGCCACCATTTTCCAGCCAGGAACCATGGGTTTGTAAATGCTGATTTCTTGCTCAGCTGCGAACCATTGAGCCTGTAGAAGATCATAACTTTAAGAAATTGACAGAGCTGCATTATCCACAAAAAGCAGAGATGTTACCCTGAATTTCCCTGGCTTCCTCCCCTCAGCTAC